CAATTTACTATTTATCTTTTCCTAGTTGTGAGAATTAGAAAAGCGATAGAGAGTAAATAGCGAGATAAAATTAATCTACATTGGCAAAAATAGATATAAAGTAGGTTTCAGAATTCAGCGAATGTCATTTTTATGATGAACAACTTTTGCTACGAGCGTAATGATTAATTATGAATTGCAGCGGTACATACTTATGACCCATATGACACAAGGACAATTATGTATTTACATGTCGAAATCGAAGCCGCATCGAACTGTACGCACGTCGGTCGCGCAACGACCTTCGCCTTCCTCCGTGAGAAACGCAGAAAGGCGAGAACCATGGCGGCGGTACTATTGGCGAAATTGTGCTTTCGCTGTGTCGTGCGCTTTTCCGACCGAGAGTACATGCGCTGAGGGAAGAAAGTAGTCGGGATTGAATAGGGAGAAAAAATGGTACGTGAGAACGTAATTGTCCATCACTGTCGTCGCGAGGCAGGCACGTAATCGAATGCCGGAGTAATTGGTGACGGGCTAACCTCTGACCGGACAGCCGATATCATTCCGCAATATGTTGCGTCATTTCATTGAATGAGTCTTTCCGAAATCAAGTTGATTGACCACGCTATTTACAAATTTCTTAACTTAGTACTAGAGCATATAATTAGTTTTCGAATTTTTTTACCTTTTATTTTAAGGAATGATCTTTTCCTATGAAACCTTTATGTCACATTTCTTATAATTACATGTACTGATTACATTTGCTTTTCATATCTTTCGAAAATTTATTTGTATAATTAATTGTATCATTAATTTTACGTAAATGTATCCGAGATCTATCTTGGATAAATGTACATTAAAATTATTTTATATAGATGCATATTTGTGTTTACCAATTCTTTCTGTTCAGAAAACATTTTATTATATAATACGTATAATATTTGTACTGTTTGATACTTAATAATATTTCAAACAGATCGTACGTAAAAATTATGTTCTATAAGATCTTTATTAAATTTGTATTAATAAATTTATATTTGAACATTTAGCTGCTATTTATACGTTGACAGAACCACTACAGTGAATCTAGCAATGACACGGATGAAGGCGATGATCAAGAGGCGTCTTCTTTGCAAGAAGGAACAAATATTGAGGATACCTTAACATCTTTCAGGGAACAATGGCAACGTGAGTTAACGATATCACCTAAGCGTGATATATCAAAGACGTATTCACCAAACCAGCCTAACATTGAGGTCGCAAATGATGAAGCTTCTATCGAAAGCAAGGTATAGTAATTATCGTTGAAATAAGTTTTGAACTCTTATAATGTTTCTATAAAAATATTTCTTGTTTCAGGCAAAGAATTTATTTCTTAAAGGTATTGAACACGAACAAAGCAGAAAGTTTTATGAAGCAATTCAGTTTTATAAGCGTGCGGTACAATTAGTTCCTGATATTGAAGTGCGTTTGTATGAATCAACAAAAGCAAAAGCAAGAGACAGATTTGATGCTGATGATTGTTGTGATACACTAGACAATGATTTTTCAAGTACCAACGACAGCGAAAATCATAATGAAGTTGATGAAGAAGAAACTGATTTATTTTTGAAGTTGTCTAAAATTGTAAATCGCAATCAATGTGTATGTTTCCCAAAATTCGAACAAAGTGTAAGTATATTATTTTTTAACATTTATGTTGTAATAGTTTGTGTTGTAATTTTAAATGTACGATATATTTATACAGGATTATAATTGAAATGTGCTGCATTCTATATTTGTCATTTTCTTTATGTATTTCAGACAACACATATCTCTGCATTACCTATGGAGATAGTGCTTTACATTCTGAGATGGGTTGTGTCTTCTGAACTGGATTTTCGATCGTTAGAAATGTTTTCAAGAGTATGCCGCGGATTTTACATATCTGCACGAGACACGGAGATCTGGCGACTTGCGTGCGTTAGGTAAATATTGAAAGATATTAGCGTGATTATTGATTGTTAAATTGGAATTGTTTTCAATAGGGTATGGGGTGTAAACTGTGGTACTTGCGAACCAAAATACAAATCGTGGAGAGATATGTACTTGCAACGGCCTAGATTAAGGTACAACGGATGTTACATCAATAAAACAAGTTACATACGCGATGGAGAAAATAATTTCCAAGACCGTTTTTATAGACCATGGCATCTCGTTGAATATTTCCGGTACCTGAGGTATACAAAAACATTATTGTAATATCTGCAAAGATTCTATTTTCTTGTGCTACCATGTGTTATGATATCCAAAGTGAAACATTTTTCACAATATTTTTCTTGCATTTAGATTTTTTCCCGAAGGAAGAGTTTTAATGTTGACTTCGACTGAGGAAGCTCAAATCTGTGTAAATTCCTTACGAAATCGCATACCACGCAACCCATCAGTTCTAATGGGTCATTTTCGATTACATGATAATTATGTGACACTTGTGTTGAAAAGACAAGAAACTAAAGGAATCAATTTCTACAGAAGGAAGAAAAGAGAACCGGTGCATGATAGTGGTGAACAAACGTTTCATATTGTAAGTAATAAATATATCTAAAATTGAATATTATATATCAAAAATAAGTTAATACATTTTCTCATACATGTAATCGTAGGAATTTGAAATACAGAATCACCATAGAAGAGTAAACTCGCAATTGAAATGGATCAGCTACAGTATTTTCACAAAATATAAAAATGGACAGGAAGCAAAGATTTGTCTAAAGGAACCATCTGTAAGGGAATTCAGAGCGTCGCCGATTGGTGGTAGATATCCACCTCTTAAATTCAGCAGGGTAAAGAGTTACACTCAGGAGAGCGAAGTCCCATTATAGTAATGAACTGACAACAAACAAATCATATGAATCATGAGAGTACAATTATCGAATTATTCTTACAGAAGAAAAATAGTGAATGTAGTGAATTCTCAGTATGTTATAAAACCGAAGAAAACAAAGATGAATATGTAATTGTAATTAAGTATACTTTTCTTCGAATTATATTAAGTACGTATACATATTTTTCAAGATATTTTATTTATCTTGTATCACGCATTGTATTCTATTATAACAGTTTCCTATTGTATATTATACAACCTGCAAATCACAACTATTCTTAAAGAATTAATTACGACGATAACACTTCCAATCATGAAAGTGTGTAACTTATTTATTCAGATCTAATATAATTATTTAAGCACTAGATTATAGTGCCTTACATCGCAATGAGTTGCAAACTTCAGAACTTAACAAAGTATGTACTGAAGAATATAATTACATAGTTTTGTTTATCAATTAATTATTGCTCAGCTATACTTAAGTTTAAAAAGTGTGTTAATTGAATAAAATTTATGTAAATTTTTTAAATTGTGTATATAATTTTGTATAATTATATATAATAAAAAATAGCAAGCACTGAAATATTGTATGATCTTATTTATGCAATGAGAATATAACGATGTACATTTGTGTGGTA